GAAGCAGGAGGAGCAGGAGTCTGTTCACCTCATGGCAAACAGGAAGCAGAGTACAGAAGGGACATGGATCAGGAACAACTTTCAAAGGCATGCCCCTTAGATCCTTTTCTATAGCTAGGCAACACCTCCTGAAGTTCCCACAACCTCCCCATTAACTGGAGACATAATGGTAAACACATGAGCCTGTGGGAACATTTCATATTCAAATGACAACAATATATATGTGGATGCACTCATATGTATCCTATTTTGTTGTTGTTGTCCCTCTGGCAACCCTGACTAAGTATAGCATCATTGTCCCTTTCTCTATAAAAAAATTTTGTGTGTGTGTGTGTGTGTAGGTCAAAGGACAACCTGCAGGTTCTTTCCTTTGACCATGTGGGTCCCCGGAACTGAACTCAGATCACTAGACTTGGTGGCAAGCTCCTTTACCTGCTCTGCCATCTCATCAGCCCTTCATTGCTCTTTTCTTTACATACTATTTGTCTAACCTTTTCTTTACATACTATTCTTCCGTCTCTTCATTTTGGGAAGGTTGTGGATCAAGGCTTCTGGGGAGATTGAGCTTATAGGCTGGGAACTTACTCCTGACAATCTCAAGGACAGCAGCTGTGTCTCAGTGATATTTTGTTCACTAGCATCAGTAGGTAGAATCGAAGGAGAAAAGACGTTTTTTTCTGTTGCTTGCTCAAGACTGCAAGGCAGTTTGGCAGGTAAAGGGGCTCCAAAGAGTCTGGGCAGAGAAAGGAAAGAAGTGGGTTTGCAGCTAGTGTGTCACTTTGCAATGCACACTTCTGTGTATGAAGACTCTGTGTTTGCACGTGACAGTCTTGATTTTGAATGTGTTGTACTCTGGCCACATTATGTGCCTGATGTTTCAAGGTTTTCATTTGGGAAACGTCTTCCTGACCTGCTGTGGTTATCCTCCCGTCTATGATCTCCATCATTCTTTCCGTTTCCTTGACTGAACTCTTACCTTCTTCTCTGCTTTTCCAAATAGCCGAGACACTAGCTAGCACCCCACAGGAAGTAAGGACAGACCCAACCAATGGCCTACTAGATGGGTAGAACAAGATGGAAGAGAGTGGATGAGATGAAGGTGACCACGTGTGACCACTCCCGACTGGATGAGTAAGAACCTTACGATCACTCCTCTGGTTGGAACAAGGGGCCGGGAAAAGGCAGTGCAGGCCCTTTACTGGCTCAGCCCATGAGGTGCTAAAAAATGACCAATCTCAATAAAGAGTACCTCACTGTCCATTCCGCGCCCACCACAAGCCTCACAAAAGGCCCCTGCTGCTACTCAAGCAGCACAGCGCATTCCTCCCCAGAGATCCCTGGGCAGCTCTTTCCTGCCTTGACAATTTTCTCTGCTCACTGCTCCTGTGAGTTTCCTTATTCTTTGTAGGTGTGAAACAGGAGCCACTGGCTTGGGTGGCTTTGGGGACTGTTCATTGTCTAGCACCCTAGCTCCTGGAGTGACGCTCACCAAGAGCCTGAGAACTGTCACTGCCCAAACACGTCATCATTCTCTTCTAATGCCCATCTTATTGTACTTCTCGGAACCACTATGACTTTTACAATCATTCGCATTTTGTAGGCCGTTTTTTTTAGTTAAATTTGTCTTTAAGGTAATGGTGTTGGTCTAAGGACAAACAGGATCTACACCCGAATCTAATTTTCTTTTGACTTTGATAGTTGGGTATAGTGGCACGCACCTTTAATCCCAGCACTAGGGATGCAGAGGCTGGTAGATCTCTGTGAGTTCAAGGCCAGCCTTGTCTACATAGTGAGTTCCAGGTCAGCGGGGACAAGAGAGAGACCCTATCTCAAAAAGACCAAAAAAAAAAGTAAAACATTCTCAGGGCTGGAGACCTGGCTTAAAAGTTAAGAGCACTGGCTGCTCTTCTAGTGTATAACCCTGTGACCCTCTTCATTCACCCGCTATCCCCCAATCCCTCCAGACCCCCACTAATTGCTCTTTTAGCTTCTGTAAACCCCCCTTCCAGGAAACTATAGATTAAGCAAGCCCGGGCATAAAAACTGCCCTATAAGGTAAAAACGGAGACTCCTGGCCCCACAGGTAACAGTCAGCACATTCCACAGCCCTGAGAATAGCACCTACCAATAAGAAACTTCCAGGGCTGCATCTTATACATCCAATCAGTTTAAAATTATGTTGGCGTGTGTGGGTTCCTTGAACCAACCAAAATGTATCTTCGGTATCCCCCCCTTTTGTCTAAAACCTATAAAAGTCTCCACTCTCCCTTACCCTGGGCTCTCAGCATGGATCTGTTGAGTTGGTGAGGTCTGAGAGCCCGAGCTTAAGCCCGAATAAACCATAAACCTTTGCTTTTGCATTTTGGTGTGTTGGGTCCTCAGAGGTCTTTTTGGGGTCCAGTAGATGGGGTACAACAGTAGAGGACCTGGGTTCAATTCCTAGCACCCACATGCCCTCCTCTGACCTCCTCAGGCATTGCATGACACAGGTGGATTTACATACATGTAGGCAATACACTCATACACATAAAATAAAAATAACAAATAAAATACTTTTAAGAATAAGTAAATAAAAGCAAAATATTCTCATTCAAAGTATCATAGGTCTTGGGTTCCCTGCATCATGGGTCTGAATGACATAACTGGTCCCTGGTACCTGCTCCATGCAGCGCCTTAAGCAGACAGCTCTCCTCTTATCATTTCCTCTCTCCTGTACTCACACGGCTACCATTGCCAAGTGAGAACATGCCCGCAGTGCTTAGGAACTGGCCTACAGCAAATGCCAGGAACTGACAGCTGTGTGTGCTTAAACAGACACTAGTAATTACTATCTGTGCTATTGCCTAGGTTTCACTCTTTAATAGACCCCAAGCATCTCTAAGGCTAGGAATGTGACTTATGATGATAGTTCTCAAAGTTAAGTGTGTGTCTGATCACAGGGAAGAATTTCTGAAGCTGGTTAGAGGGCATGCCCAGAACCCTGATTCCCCAGAAAGGTCCTGGGGAAACTGATCATTCGCATTTCTGACAAGTGCTCGGATAGTCTCAGGCCTTTTCCCAGAGAATCACTGTGGGGTTTCCTTTGCTTTGTCTTGTTTTGTTTTGCATTGCTAGGGATGGAACCCAGGGCCTCAGGCATACCAATAAGCAGTACATCCTGCCCTGAATAACTGTGGTAGACAACTATATTCTCTCAAAAATTAGCAGAAAGCCAGGTATAGTGGTGAAAGCCTTTAATCTCAGCACTCAGGTGGACCTCTGTGAGACAGAGGCTACCTGGCCTACATAGTGAGTTCCATGGCAGCTGGAGCTACAGGAAAACTCTGTCTCAAGCAAAACTAAAGAAAAAAACAAAAATAGCAGAGAGAAAATTTCAACATTTTACATTGAGAGTAAATTATGCAAAAGTAATAATGGTGGCAATAAAAAATTTCTTTACTGCAGAGGCTGAGCAGAGAGGGGTGGGCAAGGAGACTCATCAAAAGAAAAAGTGCTGGTGGCCCAGCTGAGCTGACTGTCATCTGTTGGATTTCAGGGACATGCATAAAATGAAGACAAGAAACCAAACTAGAGATCAGTCAACCTGAAGCTGAGTTTTTGCCCAGCCCACAAGAATGCCAGCAGAGTGCTGGGGTCCATCTGCTCCTCTCTTGATAACTGATGCTGGGTCTCTCTGGAAGGAAGTAGCTTGACAGGAAAAAGAAAAACTAGGTCGACTGAAAAAGCCTTGATTTTTTTAACTCCTTGTAGCTGTTTTGGTGACCTTCAATGTTCTCCTGCTGTCCTGTCATCTGTTACTTTCAGTAAGAAATGCAGACTGCGAGTACCGAATCTTTCTTGGATACTTCTACACAAATTAAGCTCATAGAATTTAATTCTGTTGGAAAGCTTGAAGTCGTCCAGCCCAGCCTACTGATTTTATAGATGAGGGAATATAACCTTACAGACAATTCTAAATGTATAACTAACTACAGTAGAGTTCAGCTGGTTTCCAGATACCTTGATTCACAGTGCCTTTGAGATATGTATTGTCCAAACTGAATAGGAAACAGATACTGTTTCCACACCACATTAAAACATCATTTTATTATTTATTTATTACGTGGGGGGCGCAAGCCACACCACATTTTTAAAGCAAAAAGATGGTTTTTCCTTTTCACTTACTTCTCACTACTTCCAAGGGCAAATAAAGAGAAAAATCTTAAACATCGTCAGCAGAGCCCCAAATCTTGACGGCAACAATGACTTTCTGTTGCTTGCTACTTGCTCGTTGGCCACCAGAAATGGGCCACTGAGCAAATTCTCAAGAACCCTACACTGAATGGTGGAATCATTGATTTGACTACTGTTTGCCAACTGCTCAGCCAATCAGGGGCTGAATGTTTCACACTAATTATAAGCTTCTTGATAATCCCGCCTCAAAGTTAGGTGCAAGGTGAAACCACAGACTGCCCTTTCTGTACAATAGGCAGCGTGCCAGCCAGAAAGGGATGGACTTCAGTAGTGGGAAGCTTGGAAATCCAAAGTGTCTGCTCTCCTTACTTAGGTTGAGTCTAGACAGTTCTAGAAACTTGTGAGCCTTGAGTTCTTTCTCTTCTATCCTACCCTTCTCCCTGCTGCCCCTCCTTCCTCAGTCAGTAAGGATCCTGTGAGATATGTACAAATTGCCCTGTGCATAGTAGATGCTGGAAAAGTGCTGGCGCTAGATCATTCCAGTTCCAATTGTCTGTTTCTCAGTCACACAGGTACCAAAGTAAGCATCGTGAGAAGTCAGTGGGAAGTATAGACTTCAGAAGAATGACCTTAATTCGGGTGAAACACGAATCCTCATTTTGGCAAGACTTCTCTAGCAAGTGCTTTTACTGATGGTATGTCTTGTGATAAATGTAGTCAAAGATCCTCTCACCCTGGAGTTCTCATGGTCCATAATCCCTCACCACCTCTCTGGCTGCTAAATAAAATGATTTTCAGAAAAACATCAAATGTAACGTTTTGCTTACCCATTTGGCCTTGGTTTCCTGGTTCCAGGTTCAAGGAACTCTGTCTCCTCCTCCATTTCCTGTGTGGGGATCTTGTTTTTCTGAGAAGGTTGTGGTGAAAGCATTTCCCACTCATTGTCATGGGTGACAGCCTGCATTGGAACTGCATCTGGACCTACATCCAGTCCAGCCCAACCTCGGCTCTTGCCCAGACCAGAAACTTCCTCTAGTGTTAAAGATTCTAGAGGCCTCATTTCTTCCACAATCTGCAACGGGGAACTCTTGTCCAAGTTGAGATTTGAGATCTGTTCCACAGTCCTGCCAGACCCCTCAGACTCCGAGTCCCTGGTTTCTGAGGATGGATCATCAGCCTCACCATGGCCAAAGACCATCCAACTCTGGTCTTGTGCAGGGCTTTCAAGTGATGCCTTCTTATTATTTGTGGAAGACATTCTCTCAGCAGAATGATCATTGCCTTTATTTAAAGAGGCAGACTGACACGTGTCTGGGAAGCTCGCTAACTGAGCTTCTGGCAGCCCTGTTTCTTTAAAATCTGTGCATAACCTTTCTAATTCAGATACACTTTCTTTTGCCTCACAGGCCTCTGGTTTCAATGGTGAATCTTTTTTGTGGCTTATGAGTATGTAATCCGCAGATAGCGTATGACTGTTTCCAGTCTTCTCTGCACATCTTTCTTCGTTGCATTCTGATATTCTCTGCTGAGGCTCTTTAATGGGAATTACTATTTCTTCGTCTAACTCTAATATTTCCTTGCTGACACCTAGAATAGGAAAGTGGGAAGGAGAGAACAAGACTTAACACATTAAATGATCTGTGATCCTTGCAAATGATCACCTTAAAGATAATAAATATTTTCATTTTGCAGATCTGCTTAATTTTCTCACAGGCAGGGAGAAGTATCATAATATAAGAAGTACATTTATTGTTGAAGTTGGTTAGACATGCTGTGAAAACATAGGTACTTCCTCTCTACCTATACTGATAGAGAGTACTTTACAAATGTAATAGGTGATACTGATTTTGACTGATTTCATCCTGGTAGGACTGAGCTGTTGCTTACCAATTGGTGGTCCCACGTCGCCACCTGCTGGTGAATCAGAATTATTCGTTTCTATTTCCCAGTCAATGTTGGATGGAGACAATTCAATGTTGGAACCTGTTCCTAGTACAGGTGAAGGAAGGGCCTCAGGCTCTTCGTGAATATGCAGCAGAGCCAGTTGTCTGTCTTTGGTCTCGGAGTGGTTTCCCTCACTTTGGTCAGGAAGGGCAGAAAGCAACATCTCTGCCGCTTCGCTCCCCAGAGAGGCATCCTCTGGAGACCCAGTTTCCAGTGTTGTTTCAGCACTACGAGGAGGCTCTGTGAGGTACGACAAATCAAAGGGAGGTGTGTATGGGGCCAGTGATTGCTTCAGAGAGTCTTCCTCCAATGGAGGGTCACCACCATACCGGAAGTGTTCAGGCTCTTTCATTAGATCTTCATCAATATTCTGGCTCATTACATCATATTCAAAATCACCCCATGAGGCTTCGGATGAACAGATATCTTGTTTCACTGCATCCCCATCAAGTGGTGTCTCAGGATGGCCTTCTGATACACTTAACTTACTCACGTCATCTATTGTTCCTGAGGCATCACTGAAACTATGGTCGAAGGCAGCTTCGCTGACATCCAGGCAGGTGTCTGAGGCCAGCAAGACATCAGTAAGTACAGCAGGATTCTCAGAAGCAAAAGGTTGCTCATAGTCAGGAAAGGTTCTAGTATCTGCCTGACTTCCAGGAAAGATGTCCTCTGACACCCAAGAGCAGTTGCCATCCATAGTTGGCTCCTGGTGAGTTATAAAAATGCTAGTTTCCACATGTCCAATGCTGGGGCTTGTTCTATCGGCAGATTCCAAAATTGGTGTAGTCTCCGGGCTGGGTCCTTTTTCTGATACCATTAAGCTTGTATTGTTGTCCCCATTCCGTTCAGAAGGTTCAGGAGAAGCTTTTGGAGAGGCAGACAGAAATGAGCTGTCTACAGTTGCCTGACTGCTGACTGGAGGCAGAGGAACCACACGCTCTGAAGGGAGCTCTGACTTGTGTGGGAGGGGCTCCTGCCCAGGCTCTTGACTGGCCTCGTCCTTCATCTTTGCTTCAGTGAGACGAAGCTCGCTGGATTCTGCTTCAGGCCCTCCACAAACGCTGGTGTGCTGATCCAGCTCTTGCTTTGCCTCAGCATGGCATATATCAGGGCTGTTGGAGGCCTGAGAGTTGCTGTCGTGGTCACAGTGAGTCAGGATATCAGGATTGTCACCATCTGCTTTTAAAGTGAAAGGTTGCTTGGCATCCACCCACAAATCAGGCGAAGCTGAGGCCAACTGCCCACCCTCTTGGAAGTTGCCATGCCAAATATCTGGAACAAAAGGCTCCTGGGGGTCACTGGGGCTAAGGCCAGAACATTCAGAGCCTGACTTGTTTATCTGTTGTGTGGGAGCACTGGCAGCAGGGAGATTTTCTGTGGCAATGTTGGAATGTGTCATTTCACTGAGATAGGATTTTCCTTGTTCCCACCAATTCGCCTGTTGGCACTCAGCACTTGAGACATTAGCTCCAACACTTCCATTTCCATCCATATGAGTAAATACTGGGTCTGCATGGTCCCAGACTGATAGCATGGCTCTCTGACACTGCTCATGGGTAGGAGTTTCTGCAGGAAGGTCACCCTCAGCAGAAGACATGAATTTTTGCTGTCCGAAATCTTTTTCTTTAATTTGATCCAATATTACTAGGTGACTAAACTGATTAGCATCTGAGTCTGGCTGCCTTGGTTGAATGTTCCAAAGTTTTTCATGTGTGTTGTCTCCACCACTGTCTAGATAGGATGACCGAAGTTCATCGTTGAAAGGATTGGTACAGCGTGTTGCCAGGGATTCACTGTCACTCTGAATGGACGCTCCCCAGGGACCCGCATTCTGGAATGCTGAAGAATTCTTCTCCAACTCACTGCCTGAATTAGGCAGTTCCTCTTCCAATGGACGGTCTGTTGGTCTCCCTTCATGCAGAGGGGCATTCCACCACTCACCGCTCTCAGTTGAGAAGCCAAGCATTTCCAGTTTAGAATGGTCTTCATTTTCTGGTTCAGTTTTGGGAAATATTTGCCATGCGTCATCTCCTGTCTTCCCCTTTTCTGCAGATCTTTCCTCTTCCTCCATAGATGTGGCCTGTGTGTTAGTCTGTATAAGTGGTGAGAAATTCCACTGATCAGGGCTTTGTTGATTTTCATAGCATGGGTTTGACTTGTTCTCATTCTCTGTTGGTTCTGAATTACCTACATAAACAGAAAACTCAGGCTCAGAACTCTCTGTGGCCAAGAACTTAGATTCATGTACCGAATCCCAAGTTTTGGATTCACTCTGAGCAACTTGACACGTGGCCAAACGGATCTCTTTCTCTGCTGACTCTTCATCACCTACACTGTCGTCATCAGAACCAGAGCTTGTGGACAGAATCCTGGTATCTTCTGGCTGCACAATTTCAGGAAAGTCATGTTCACTTTCTTCTTGATGGCTAATCATTAGATTTCTTTCCTGATATGCACTAGAATATTCAGAATATTTGTCTGTTCCAGTGCTGGATGAAGAGGATAAAGAATCACCATTCATTACATCATTTGAAATCTCAGAAAATTTGGGATCCTTGTGATCAAACGTCTTTCCCAGCTGGTCCTTTCTGTTTTTTCCTAAGGCCTTCATTTTGGTAATTATTGCCACTTGGGCTCCAGTGGCAATTAGTTTTGATTCTTGGTGATTCTGTTCACTCCTATTATCTTGATCCTCTTTTTGATGCTCAGTACTGGGCCTGTGGCTCCAGGAGGACAGGGCAGCTGAAGAGCCAGCTAGGTCAGGGCTCGATGCACTTGAATAAGTACACTCACTAGAGATGCTATCTCTTTCAGAATGTCCAGGTGAATGGGTGTCTAGAAATCTGTTTTCAGTGCCTTGACCTTCAGGATTCCTAGTTCCCTCAGAACTTATGTGACTGTCCCACACGTCATTATCTATAGGGCCATCCCAAATGTCAGAGCTTTGAGGAGACTCACAAGGTAGTGTTTCCAGAATATTGTGTTCTTTGGTGTCCTTGAGCTCCATTTCAGGTGAAGGTATGTTTTGTATTTGATTCACCCTACCTGAAGTTGCAGTGGTCTCACCTGACTTTTTATGTGTGAGAGGCTCTGCATAGGTCTCTTTTGCTTGGAGGCTTCTCGTGGACATCTCTGTGTGCACAGCAAAGGGGACTAGATTGTAAGACCCCTTCTCCAACTCTAAGGCTTCCTTCGGTTCCTGTGTTTGAGGACTGGAAGTGACCGAGGCAGAACTTACTTTGCCTGACTCAGTGCAGATTTCTTGCTGTTCGAGTATAACCGGAGAAGGGAGTGCCAGGTCACCTGGCTCCTCTCCAGAAACCTGTGAGGCATCATCTACTCTGGGGTCTACTATGGCCTTCTTCTCGAGGTACTCCCTGTCAGAGGCTCCCAGACCTTCAGTCTTGCTTTCACTGTGTCCATAACTCTGGCTTCTCCATGGATCTGAGGGTGTAAAATGTCCCGGACTCTCAAGCTTGGTCTTTGAAGATGCTGGGTCACCTTGGGATGTTGTCCACGTTTTATGGTTGTCCAGATGAGGCGTAAGGGCTGCTGATTCACTGAGCCCAGAGGCTTCTAGCATGTGACTGTCTTCAACATTTACTGAATGGCTGGGACTTTTAAGAGGCAAGCTGCTTTGTTCTGTATCTGTGATACATTGTGAGTTTGGTAACCTGAGTGATGACAGATCTTTATCTCTCATGACAGAATCCCAAATGTTGTTGGCAATTAACTGCCCACTCTTCTCATTCAGGGTGTGGTATTCATTGAGAACAGTGTCCCTGGTGGTCGCAGCAGAGGCAGGGAGGTCCCAGTCTGCCTGGTTTGCTTCTTGATACTCTGTGCCCCATGGTTCCAGCTGTCTCACTGAAAACCGGGTTTCTAGTTCAGTGTTTTCAGCTACGTAGCCTTCTTTTTGACCGTCTCCAGTGATCGCCACACCCCCACTGCAGTCATCCCAGTCCAAGTCATTATCCATATCTGAGATTGTTGCAGTGGACTGTGTGTCCTCCAGAATCACTCTGTTCCACGTGTCGAGGCTGTCAGAGGCCACCTGACGAGAGTTGGTGTTGCTGTGCAGAAGTGTGAACTGCCGGTTCGCCTCATTGTACAGCTGCATCATGCCAGGGTCCTCGTAACTGGAAAGGCTGCTTTCCCCAACATCCTCCTCCACGCAGGCATTCTTTTCTGTGGGCTCTGTCGTGAGTAAATCTTTGTCTGGATCATGTGTGTCATTTACTTTAGGTTTATCATCTGCATGAGGTGACGCCCACATGTCTAGATTCCCAGGACCTGAACTGATTCGATTTCTCAGTGACTGGTGTATTGGCTGTGGAGGAACGTCAGTCTCCTCTGCAATAGAGTCAACATCTTTTGTTTCGAAACCTTCTTCATTAGCAAATGGTTTCTTTCCCATTTCTTTTTCATCTCCAGCACACGTTGGCGATGTGTAAGAGTCAGAGGTGGAGTAGTTTGTGTCTAAGGGGGATGGGACTGAGTCTTCTCCTATGTTGGATGCACTGTAATCAGAACATTTATATGACAAGAAGGAATCTTCCCAAGGAGCTAGCACACCTGAGTCCCTTTTCTTAACACTTTCCTCAAAGAGGTTCCAGGAATCGTCCTTCTCATAGAACTTTCCTCTGGCCTTAGGATCCGCTAACTCATTCTGATGTTCCTTTGGCAGCTTAGAATTATTCCATCTTTGTTCCATACCAGAGCTGGGGTCTCCAGATGGAAGAATAGCCTTGTTATTTTCAGCCCAGATTTTTGGAGCTGCTTCATCATTTACCTCAGTGAGGGAATTGTCCAGTAGGTCTGATGAAGGGAAAGAAAACCCAATTTTTGCTACAGCCCACTCATTCAGGTCCTGCACAGGTGTGTCACTGGTGGTGGGGTGAAGATTCCAGGTATTTTTTAAAGCTTCAGCTTTATCTTCTTTATCGAATGCACCCCAGGCTGGGAAGGACACTGTAACTGCGGCCTCACCAGCATCGGTAGGATTTCCCCAGGGCTCAGGCATTGTTGTTGGGGAGTGACCTGAATGCCACAAAGCTGCAAAGTCTTCTATCAAGTGGTTTGTTCTTTGAGGACAAGCATCTGGCAAATGTGTTCTCTCAGGGGGCAGGTGCTGAAGCTGCAAGCTCTCCTTCTTTTGGTCTTGAGTATCTTTGTTACCCACTTTGGTATGAGCAAATTCAGATTCCCAGGGATCTGATTTGGGGAGTCCAAGACTCTTGGGTTGAAATGCAGAATCTGAGGCTCTCCTGTCAACCGGGATGGGCTTGTGATCTTTCCATGACTCGGGGCTCTGAAAGACAGATTCTTGTTCACTGGAGCTCCATGCATCTACAATATTTTTAGAATCAATTTCCAAGCCACCCCACCAGCTCCTGCACCGTGCACGGGTCTGGGGTGGCCCCAGGTGCCCTGTGTCAATAGATTTTTGGACCATATCTTCTGGGTAGAGTGGAGCTGGTTCTTCAGTGGATGGTGAGCTTTCTACAAAACTATTCATAGGTGTTGGTGGGATCATCTTTCCAATATTTTCCAGCCTTTCTGGGGAAGAAGATCTATCTCCCATAAAACTTGTCAAGCTTAAGTTTCTTTCAGACTTGTCTCCTAGGCTTTCCTGTCTCTGGACAAAGTCTTCATCAAATTCCACAAGACTATCTTTGCCAGCCTCTGACAAAAGGGAACTGGAGGAATAATTAGATGTATTGATCCCCATCTCATCAAGTTCTTTAGGCTCAGCAGGGAGGTGTCCTTCTGAAGAGTCACTGTTGGGGAAGTCATCTGCTAGGGAGCAGTCTGCAGAATGAGAAGACGGTTGGGATTGCCCAGAAACCATGGGTGCTGGATCAAAGTTGAAGAGGTCAAAGTGTTCACTGTGTTCTCCAGACCGTGTAAGTTCCTCTGCAACTACTCCTTCAGGGATGGGACTGTAGGAGTCAAATCCTGGGAGAAGGCTATGGTGAGGCCCAGCACCTTCTCCCACTGGGCTGTCATCACTGAGGAACACTGAGCTCTCCTTGGATGAACGACTGCTCCTAATAGTGGCCAACCCACTATCTGGGCTAACAAGGTCTACGTTAACATCCACTTGAGCCTGGTTAGAATCATTGAGATCTGGAGGGTTTTCTATGAAATTCACAGAGCTTGGCTGTGGCTCTACGTCAGAACCATACAACTCCATAATCCCCGAAGAGCCTTGGGATAGAGGGGCACTGCCTGCCACAGCTTCCGTTGAGGATGTCCGGCTATTAGAGACCATCTCTGGACACCTCTTATTAATGACTTCCTTGACAAGAAGAATCACTTGGTCACAAGTCACAGAAAGGTCTTCCTGCTGGTATACCAGGATCTCACCACAGCCACATTCAAAGGGCTCTAGTTCCAGGCAGGGGTTCTGACACTCTTCCAGCTCACAGCAAATCTGTAGGGAGACACAGCAGTTGAGGTGAGCAGGCAGTTTTTGCATTTTGTCTTTCTTAATTTTTTTAAAAAATTGTATGCATGTGTGCATGCGTGTGTGTGTGTCTGTGTGTGTGTGTGTGTGTGTGCATACATATACTCGTGCATGTGGAAGCCGGAGAACAACCTTAGGTGTCATGCTCAAAATTGCTGCCCACCTCCTTTTGAGACAGGTCCTCTTACTGGCCCAGAGTTCCAATTAGGCTAGACAGGCTAGCCAGTGAGTCCCAGGGATCCTCCTGTCTCTGTCTCCCTAGTGCTGGGATTACAAGCCTGTGTGACCGGGCCCAGGTTTTTACCTGGATTCCAGGGATCAAACTCAGTCCTCATGCTTGGAAGGCAAGCACTTCATCCATGGAGCCACCTTCCCAATCCCTTCTCCCCATTGCTTCTGTATTTGCTTTTGTTTCTGTTTTTGTTTTCCAAGCAGGATTTCATGTATCCCAGGCTAGTCAGTCTCAAACTTGCAAAGTAACTGAAGATAACCTTGAACTTCTAATCTTTCTGCCTCTATGTCCTGAGTGCCGAGACTGTAAGTGTGGGCCACCATGCCAGGCTTATATGGTGCTGGGGACTGAACTCAGGGCTTCATACATACTATAAGTGCTATATTCCTAATCCTAGTAATTCTTCTTAACATAAAATTAATCTGTGTCTCTCTTTCTACAAAGAAGCTCTCAAACAACTGAGACCAAAGTCCCACTTAATCCCTCTTAATCTACCACCCCAGCCCTATCAAACTGTCTTTTCATTTAACGTAATAGTTAACTGCTCAACTTCACTGGTTTCTGGAAATTATGGATAAAAAAATCACACTCATTTCCTAGGTATAATATAACACCATCTTTCAACAAGCATAAAATTTAAGTTTGCAATATAGCTGGATGCTAATGAAGTGTTGGAATAGGGAAGGGGAAAGACAGCCAGATCTGCAGTAGCCATGATAGAATATTAAGGCAAAAGAGGAGGTAAGAAGGAGGGAGGCGCCACTAGGGCCGAGCTGCCCCAACAGCACTCAGTCCCTTCTGTGCCTTCCTGCCCAGGGAGCATGAACATGGAGACCTGAGCAGACCACGGAACCTGGAAGGCAGAAGGACACTGAGACAGACGTGGTATGAGACTAGACAGGGCTGCAGCTTTTCGATGTTTAGGAACTATCAGGAGTGTTTTGCCATCCCGGGCCTTTGAAATGGCCCCACAGGATAGGATCAGTTGACCTTAAAAATGGTAATTATAATGGAAATAATTACAGAACCCATGAAGATGGTCTTGATGGTAACAATAACAACAGCATTTACTGACCACAATTGTAAGGGTTTCACAGTCATTATCTTTTATTCTCTCAGCAGTACTGTGATGTAAGAGCTCATTTAACCTATGTTCTGTCGATCAGGAAATGATGTCACAGAAGATTTAATGACTTGGTCAACAACACGCAGCAAATGTGACGGGACCTGAGTTTTGAACTTGGCAGCTGAGCTGGGGAGGTGAACTCTTCACTGTGTGCCCATAAGACAGAGAGGGTCCCTTGGTACAGAGCCTGCCCCTTCTTTGTTGCCGGATGTTTAGAGCAGCTGCCTTGGGATGTTGCTAGGGTGATAAGGAAAGAAGGGCAAGGGGTCAGCTCAAGGGCCTGAAATTTTTTAATTTGGGGGGGGTGGGAAAACAAATGTTTATTAGCATTAGTTGAACTTGCAGAAATGAAAAATTTGCATGCTAGCTAGCTCTGAAGAACTTTAGAGACTTCCAATTTATTTCTTCAGTTTGGCTGTACAGAAAACAACATGATCTGAAATGAAATTGCATTGAAAGAATTTAGGTTTTCAACAGAATACAAGTACCTAAAAATCATTACAAATTTCCCTGAGTTATGCCTGTGTAACACTTTAAAGAAGGAACAAGTTACCCTTTTTTACTTTTGCGGAGACCATACCTCACTATATGCCCAGCTTGATCCCAAACTTGAAATCCTCCTGCTATAGTCTTTCAAGTGCCAGGATCACAGATGTGTAGCTGAACACTTGGCCAAGATATCAATTTGAGAAGCTGTAGGATCCCTGAATTTTGGGGGCATCTAAGCAAATTAAAACCACTAATTCAAAACCACTTTGTAGCGTTAACTATTATGGACCCTAAATCTTTACTTTTGGATCTTAAATTTTTTTAATTTTATTTTATGTATATGAGTGTTTTGCCTGCATAGCCTGTTGTGTAATGCCCGTGGAGGCCAAAAGAGGGTGTGAGATACCCTGGAACTAGAGTCAAGAATGGTTGTAAGTTGCCATTTGGGTGCTGGAAACAAACCCCAGTCCTCTGCAAGGATAGTCAGTGCTCTTAACTGCTAAGCCCACTCTCCAGCCCCTTGGATCTTTTCTTAAAGGATGTGAGGGTGGTGGGGAGCCCACTAAAATAAAAAACCAAAGTGATATAGTAAAGGCTGTGACTTGAAATTCTTTTTAAAAGTTTAGTGTGTGTGCATGTGTGTAGAGGTCAGAGGACAATTTGCAGAAACTGGTTCTCTCCATCTATCATGTGGGCTCCAGGGATCAAAGTTGGGTTGTTAGGCCTGACGGAAAGTGCCTTTATCTGCTGAGTCATCTCATCATCCCCGACTTGCAAAATTTACCACAGACAGGCTCATTTAGAGGGGATTTAGTCATATTTTTAGACCTCAGAATAGTTTATTAATACAGTTATCAAATTCTTGAGTTTTAGATTACAAAATACAAATGTGTGAGAAAAATCAGTTGAAAACTTCTCACAGTCTAAATATTCATAGTTATTAGATATCATTAACATTTAGAATTTTGGAGCAATTCTGGGCCTTTTCTATACTACATAAGCTGTCACTGGATTGAGATTTTTTTACAGTACCAAACATGAATTCCATTTAACATTTTGAATTACAAAACTCAAAATCCTCCCTTGCTTCACAGAGCTTTTCCCACCGTGTGAAGAGAGCCTTGGGAAGACTATGCTGGAGCTGAATCTACTTTAAAAATTTAGGGCATTAATTCTTTTCCTTTTTGGTAATATTCAATGAGAACACTTGGAAATGTTTTCCATAAAAGGATAGTAATATACACAAAATAAGAGTTATTAGGGCCTAGAGAGATAGCTCAGTGGTCAAGAGCACTGGCTGCTCTTGCAGAAGACCCAGGTTCTAATCCCAGCACCCATATGGCGGCTAATAACCACCCATAACTCCAGTTCCAGGGGATCCAACCCTCTTCTGTCCTCAACAGGCACTGCACAACGTGGGTGCACTTACACACATGCAGGCAATACACTCATACACATAAAATAAAAATATATTAATTAATTTTAAAAAAAGAGTTGTTAGGCTACTTTATTAATGTCCTCATTTTAACATTGTTAAACCTTAATCTCCTATTGTGTTCAATGCATTATGTGAGTATGCAATCAAAGAAGTTGGGTTGTTTTCCAGAATTGGCTCTCTTCTAAATGTCAGCACTGTTAAATCATTGGGGTAAAGCCTGGCCCACAGAAAACAGCAACACAGAGTCACAGATAGGTTTTCCTTGAGACAGATTTCAACAATGACTGCACCCAACCTGGTGAGGCTCTGCCAACTGCCCTTTGCTCTGAGTTATTTTTTTGAAGATTTTGTGTGTGTGTGTGATTTTGTTTGACAGAGTCCTAGCAATGCTATACCCTCGGACAGATTCTTGAGTCCCTCCGACTAGGTTGATAAGATCAATTATCACTCGAAAATGGCTAATTTACTTATTTTTATGTGTGTGTTTTGCTTGCATGTGTATGTAAGTGTACACAAGTCATGCAATGCCCAAGGAAGCCAGAAGAGGGCACTGGCTCCCTGGAACTGGAGTTACAGATGGTTGTTAGCCACCATGTGGGTTCTGGGAACCAAATTCCAGTCCTCTGCAGGAGCAGTCAGTGCTCATAACTGCTGAACCATTGCTCCAGCCCAGGCTCCAGGCTTTTTAATGTCTTCATTTGATCTTCTTGTGCCTATTTTAAATAAGCCTATTTTAAAATTGTTTTGAAAAAGGTATCTGCTGCTAAAAGTGATTTGAAAACTATGACAAGGAGAGCTTGGAGCTTACAAATCTTGTCTCTAGGAAGCTAATGACCAGAGAAGATAACATTCACATTTTTTTTTTTTTTTGTCTTTTTGAGACAGGGTCTCCCTGTAGCCCCAGCTGTCCTAGAACTCCTGTAGACCAGGATGGCCTTGAACTCACAGAGATCTGCCTGCCTCTGCCTCCCAAGTGCTAGGACTACAGGCATGTGCCACCACTCCCGGCAGACAGTTCAGCGGTTAAGAACACTGGTTGTTCTTGCAGAAGACCCGGGTTTGAATCCCAGCACCCACATGGCAGCTAATATTATTCACTTTTTCTTATGGTTTAGATGTAAATTCCTTCACAGGCTATGAGTTTGAATATTTGCTCCCTAGCTTGGGGTGCTGTTTTCAGAAGCTATGGACCTTTTGGACACAGGTCCTAGCTAGAGGACATAGGACCATAGGGCAGTCTTAAGCGTTATAGGCCAGCCCAGCTTCCTGATTTGCTCTCTGCTTCCTGATCCACCATGATGTGACAAGCTGTGCCATGAGCTCCCAGTGCCACAAATGCCGGCTGTCATGCCTTCCCTTCCATGATGGACTGTGTCCGGAACTGTGAACCCAAAGAAACCTCTTCTTCCTTTAGTTGTTCCTGTCAGGTATTCTAGTAGCCTAGTAGAAGGTTATTAGACCACAAGGACATTACCTTCAGAAAGGAATGATGCAGGTTTCAAGGAACTGGGTCAGTTCTTAAGAGAACAGGTGGTTGTAAAGCAGGTTTAGCTGTCTCAGCTTTCTCTTCAGTGAAATGAAGAGAAACTAATGTACCTTTGAATCTAAATACACAATAACACAATGGAAAAGACACAGGCTGGGTATGCAATGCACACAAACACACCATCAGAGGAGGGGATATAAAGTGCACCTGTGGCAAGGGCAGCATGTTGTTAACTGAAACTGAGAAGCACAGAGAGAACCAGAGAGTCCCGGTTAAGGATGTCAAATGGCACTGCTGGAGGACAGAAAGGGGGGCATATAAAAGAAAGGGGGTGAAGACTTTGCCTCTTGCCATCTGTGGACAGCCAAGGCCCTAACTCATTACTGAGAAAAGATGAGGGACAAAAGCATTCTATGATGTGTTTTATATTAGCCAACCATATATATATAATTTATATATCTTGATATTAATTATTAAATATAATAATGGATTTGTCTGTATATTCAGTGATCTATTTTGATTATTTTTTAAAACTTTTTCTTTCTTAGGCTTTGGGTTAAAAGACTCAGCTATCGTCTTACAAGATTGAACTGATTACCCAGAGAGAATCTTAGTATCTGTAGACTATTATTAAAGCATCAGATCACTAGTTACTAACCACTGGGCTCCATGGATACTGAGTCAGAGACTAAGCTAGCTATCACCAGGGAACAGTCTCAAAAGAAAACAGCAGGGTGAAGGAGGATGTGCCCTCATTTGGATGAGAAAGAGCTGAAGCTTCTCTTCATGAATTTAATCTATGAGTAGAATGCTATGGGGCTCTGCTACCGGTTTGTGTGTCTCTCAAAGGTTTGTGGGTTGAAAGCTTGGCCCTCAAGATGGTGATGATGGTATTGAGGTGGTGGAACCCTTAAGAGGTGAGCCTAGTAGAAGGTTATTAAACCACAGGGCATTACCTTCAGAAAGGAATGATGGTTTCAAGGAACTGGGTCAGTTCTTATGAGAACGGGTGGTTATAAAGCAGGTTTAGCTGTCTCAGCTTTCTCTTCAGCTTCTTGGCTCACCATGTGATCCCCTCTGCACATGTGCACCCATCAACTAGAAAACCTTCACCACAGCAGTGAAGAGGCCAGTGCCATGCTCTTGACTCTCAAGAAGTGTGAGCTGAATAAATCTGTTTTCTTTACGAAGTACCCAGTCTCAGAAACACTAAATAGACTAATACAGGATCTCTAAAAAGAAACAATGTTCAATATACTCCAATGCTTCCTAAAACTCAAGTCTTAGGATTCTACCTCTTGGGCCAATTTGTTATGAGCCACCAGTCTGTTCTGTCTTACCACGTGTCCTAAAATCCATCAGGTTAAATACAGTGAAGCAGGATCAGAGGAAGGCTCACCTGACTGCACAGCTCCAGGTTCTGGGAGTACACAGCAATCTGCCGTCTTGGCTGCTGCTCCTCAGACACGTAGCTGGCGATCAGGATGAGGACATCAAAACCAAACTTGTCTGTGAAGGCTTTCAGGTCACTGGTGACGTTGCTGTGGAAGAGACAGTTCTGAAACAACAGACATGTGGTATTAATGTCAAACTGCCATGCTGCTGTGCCACAAACCAGCCCAGGCCATGATATATTAGGACAGCTATTTATCATCAGAGGCAGGTGAAATAAATGCTTTCAGAAAGTCTGGAAACTTTCATGTTCTGGCTTAAAATATACTTTGTTGACTGGTTTTCTCAAACCGAAAAAGGAAGATATGTCTGCCATCATTATCAATACTTCAGACAAAGTTCATATTTTTCTGAAATATTTACTAAGAGCTTTGCAAAGCACACTTATTCATCCTGCTATTTGCAATGCTCATAAGGATGTCTGTAGACTGTAATCACAATCTGTCACCAGAAAAGTAAGGAGTTATTGTTCTTTCTACAATATTGTTTTTTATATCTATTTTATTTTTATTGTTTCTCTCTCTGTGTGTATGTGTGGTGTGTGTGTGTGTGTGTGTGTGTGTGTGTGTGTGTGAGAGAGAGAGAGAGAGAGAGAGAGAGAGAGAGAGAGAGAGAGAGGTGAGCACAGGTATATGGGTGCCATGGTGTATGTGTGGAGGCCGGAGGGCAATTTGGAAAGTCAGTTCCCTCTTTCCTTGTTGAGTCAGGGTCCATCTGTCTTGTTTCTTTTGCTGCACTGCATTCTCCAGGCTAGCTGGCCTGCAAGCTTCTAGCCTAGTCTCCTGTCTCCATCTCCCGTGTCACTGAAGGAGTGCTGGGATTACAGATGTGTGCAGCTGCATCTGGTTTATATGGGTCCTCGGATTGAACGAAAGTCATCAGGCTTGCGTGGAAAACACGTTACCCACTGAGCCATTTCACCTATTCTACAGTTTTTTTTTCTAATGATTATTATTAGTTTCAACTGAAAATTCCTAAATATGAATTTAGCTGAATTAACTGAGGAATTTTCTTTGAGACAGGATCTGGTGTATGTGGAGATGGGGATTGAATTCAAGGCTTCATGCATGCTAGGCAAGACTCTAACAACTGAGCCACATCTCCACCTCTGACTGAGGAATTTTTATTTCAGTGTAGAAGTCCAGGAGAATTTTGTAAGAATTGTAATGTTGAATCTACCTTATAGGTGACAGCCGTTGGGAAAGGAATCATTGCAGAGTTCCTAGACTGTGGCTCATTTCACACACAGAAAATATGCTGATTTTTCAAGTTTTATCAGATTCTGGGAGAACCACTTTGTCTGCATGATTATCTCTCAACCTTTTCTAATCCCTGGCATTCACACCTGGCATATACTAGTTGCTCAAGATATATTTGTACAATGACTAGAGAGACACATATAAAAAAAACCAATGTGTGCTACATCACCCTTTGTCAGAGCATGCACACACACACATTTAACTATCATATACATGGGATCCACGTCTATGAATTCAAACAATTGATGATGTATATTTGTAAAAGATTACTCCGTACTGAATATGTATAGTCTTTTCTTGGTCATTGTCTTTGTTTCTTCATTGCTGTGACAAAATACTCTGACCAATACCAACTTGGGGAGGAAAGGGTTTATTTGTCTTACATCTCCCAGGTCACAGTTCATCAGGGAGCCCAAGGTAGGAACTCAGGGCAGGAAGGAACCTGGAGGCAGGAGCTGGAGCACAGGCCATGGAGGAATGCTGCTTACTGGCTTGCTCCCCTGGCCCCTGCTCAGCCTGCTTTTTTATACAACACAGGCCCACCTGCCCAGGGGTGGCACCACCCACAGTGGGCTGGGCCCTCCCACATCACTCATCAAGAAGATGCCCCTCAGACATGGCCACAGGCCAGTCCAATAGAGGAAATTCCCCAATTGAGGCTCCCTCAACCCAGGTGTGTCAAGTTGACACTAAAGCTATCCAGCACAGTCATCATTCTTTAAATAACATAATACAACAATGATTTGAATTGCATTTGTATCATATTAGGTATAATAAGTTATACAACAGGATGTGCATAGGTCACACACAAATTCAATGCCATTGTAACAGGAGGGACTTGAATATCTACAGTTTTTTTTTTAAAGATTTACTCATTTATTTTTATGTGTGTATGTATGTGCCTGGGTATATATATAATATATAATATATATATCACACATGTATAGCATTTGTGGCGGCCAGAAAAGGGAGTTGGGTGTTCTGTAACTGCAATTAGGCGCTCCTGAGCCACTTGATATAGGTGCTAGGAACTGAACCCGAGACCTCTGCAAGGGCAGCAAGTGCTTTTAGCCACTGAGCCATTTCTCCAGATCCATCTACAGGTTTTGCTAACCAAAGAGGGTCCTGGAGACCAATCTTCCACAGATATTGAACAATGACAACACACACACACACACACACACACACACACACACACACGAGTCGTCGTCGTCATCATCATCATCATTTATAATCAATCAACTGATATCCTACTGTTCAGTCAGTGAAAACACTATAAGGTATACTCAAGGGATTTAGAGAATTCTATGAGTTTTTTTCTGATTATAATAGTAATTTAACTTATGCTTTTTGCTGGAGTGTTGATCATAAAATACAAATGCCATGCCGCCCTCTGGAGCTAATCACTGTGAAGTGCTGAAGAGGTGCACGTGCTTGCAGGCCTTCTCTGTGACCACATCAATAGCCACATGTTGAGCTTGTTGAAGCTGCTTACCAGCCACCACAAAGTGCCATAGAATACACAGATTCTGCAGCTCTGCCGAGTTGAATCTAAAAGTCGGTGAGGCCCCTAAGGGGGTACCTGCAACACCAGGTTCAGCTTCCATGTGTTAAGGTGGCTGTGCTGTCCATTTTGTGGTGGCTGTTCTTGTTAAGGATCTCATGACATAATTTTCTCTGCTAGGCTACAAGGAAGGATCACAAAGATCTTGGGGTATAAAAGCGATGAATACCAAGGCTCTATTGAACTGACTTGGTAATCAAGTTTATGATGTTTACATATAAGAACTTTTAGAAGCATGTGACCCAAAACAGTGTACTGTCAGCTCTCATGCTTTTAATTTAGTCACTGATTGCCATTATAGCAATCATTAAGTAGGTATTTTTAGAAAATGAATTGACCCACAGGTGTTTAGAAAGTATCTTCTTTGAATCAGACCTTCTTTTAGCTCAATAAGAATTCTCTAGATAAAACATTTCAAATCACCATTGGTAATTAATCAAGAAACTTAATGCAGAACTTTTTGCCATTGTGAATCCAAAGAAGATCTGATCCTGAAGGAAAACAGGCAAGAGGAAGACAGCTTTCTACAGCTTTATCTTCAGTAGCTTTGCTGTGAAAAGGCCCACAAATTTCCTTTCCAAATATGCTCATTATAAGATTAAGACTCAGAAGCATCTTTCAAAGCTGTACTTGTAGACTGTTTGCTGTTCATAACTATTGGCTACATCAGAACCTGTTTGTATTCTTCTGGATTACACAGATGACTGTAGTATCTTGTCCAGAACTTCTGACTAGATCAGGCCTCTCCCTAGAAAGAGAGTCTTCCTCTATGCACACCCTACAGAAGCCACATGTGCTGAACAGCGTTCTAGTTGTCAACTTAACACACCTGGGTTGAGGGAACCTCACTTGGGGACTGGCCTGTGGCCATGTCTATGGGGCATCTTCTTGATTATTGAGTGATGTGGGAGGATCAAGCCCACTGCGGGTGGTGCCACCCCTGGGCAGGTGGGCTATGTGGTATAAGAAAGCATGTTGAGCAGGGGCCAGGGGAGCAAGCCAGTAAGCAGCGATCCTCCATGGCCTGTGCTCCAGCTCCTGCCTCCAGGTTTCTGCCTTGGGCTCCCTCAGTGATGACCTGTGACCAGGGAAATGGAAGCTAAAGGAACCCTTTCCTCCCCAAATTGGTATTTGTCAGCGTTTTGTCACAGCAACTGGAAAGAAACTAGAACACCACATCTGCCTCTGCATCCAGGTGATTCATGTACCTTAAACCCTGCAAAGCTCTGCATTAGAGAGGTATTGGTCCATTGGTACATTTTCCTGCAGATGAGTCCTTTGGGCTCTCATGAGACCTGTATGGATTCTACCCTTAGCTCCTGATTCCTTATACTGGGGTCATCACAAGAACTCCCTGGGGTGTGCATTTCTACCTACTTTGCCAGGCATCTGCCAGATTGGAGACTGGATCCAAGAAAGTGTATTTTCATCATGTCCTTTAAGTAATTCTTACTATCAAGTCCTCTGGGTACCCACAGTCTCAATTCTCCTCTGGTGACCCTGAATTCCTCAGAATTCAATGAAATGTTGATTTGAAAAAAAAATTGGCATGCTGGAAAAACCAACTACATCCTACAATAACCTCCCAAACAAAGATCATCATCACCACTCTGTGTACCCTAATACATTCTTCCAAGCCAGATTCCATCAACTGGCCTGAGGATAGTGTCAAGAGTTTCATATTTAAAGCAGAGTCAAACAAGGGGATGAGTGAGAATCTTCTGGAATCTGGAAGGCACAGTCTGTTTGTTCTGTTTTTATGCCGGTGCTGTTTGCATAGGAGATAATTTATTATTGTCTTCTAGCTATGCAGGGAGTCATGTGCTGCAATGACTCTTACTTTGCTGATGAGTGAGACTGGCCCTGAGTAAACAGCACTTCATCATCAACACAGCCCCACAGTAGACACAGGTTGGCATTTCATTCCCTCCATCTGCCTGCTACCTGATAAATTACTGTTTTAGTTACATGTAATATAAATACCATTTGTTAACCTGCTCAAATGTCTGCAAAATGCTTCTTCTGCTTTGAGTTAAATTATATACATACGTCTGTGTTTCCCACTCAGTCAGCTAAGGGTTTAGACAACAAAGGGACACTCCTCCCTGTCATTACCTTTCTACCCCAGGCACACACACACTCTACATTCCTGAGCCTTGCCTATAAGCATAGCAGGAAATTTAGGAATTTACTTATCATTGAAACTGGGAACTGAATGACAAAATCCCAGGCTAATCTCCCCACTTAGGAAGAATGGCAACTGCTCCCTGTCAGAGTCCTTTA